AAAGCGCGGCCGCCGATTTTTCCAATTTTCGTAATCTAATTACGAAGCCATCCATTACTTAGCTTAATTATTTTTTTAACTGGACATGCTCTCGATTTCTAAATTTTTAATCACCAACAAAAAATGGTCCAAAAAAGCAAGAAAAGGGCCAAATCCAACAGGAACAATAGACGGGAAAAATATTAAAAGAAAAATGAACAAACGGCACGACCTCCAAGATCGACCGGTCGTCGAGGAAATTTCCGAAAAATCGAAGGAGGGCTCGAAATGAGATGAAGAAAAATTAGCGTGAGGAAAATTCGAAGGATGAAGGATAGGAAAGCGATGTCAGCCAATGGGAGGCGAGTTTAGGCGAATATACAAAAAAGAGATACTCTTGTATAAAGTAGCGGACGTAGTGGCTAAAATATTGGTACAGGAAACACGAACGAGTTTGTTGTTGAACATAATATTACATAATATTTAAAAAATGAAAGCGGAGGTGACGATGATAATATTATATTGTTGTTAGATATATATATTATATATATATACATATATATTGATATAAAGAGGAAATACTCTATCGTATAAGCAAAATACACATACACGGGCATCTCTGCGCGCACGCGTTGCTGCAAAAATGCAAGCAAAGTGCAACGAGATCCCCCCACACGGACACACACGAAAACATGGTTTCGTAGCAGCGCCCTGCATAGAAGGGCGCATTTACCACTCGTGGTCGCGAGTTGATTTTGACTTTTTTTAAAAAGAGAGAAAGAGAGAAAATATTTTTCTCGTTCATCGCTTCTTCTTAATACTTGAATATTGCAGAGTGTGGCTTATATTTCTAAGAGGCCGGGAGCGATAAGGCGCTCGCGTGATAGGCGCTTGAAGGTATTTCGAGGTTAAGGAGGATAAAAGAGAAAAAAAAATAAAAAAAACGGAGGAACCGGCGTTTTGAGTATTAAGTGGAAGTCACGGGAGACTTCGTTCGTAGGAACCGAAAGTAGCGCTCAAAGCACGCGAGATGATCGAAAGTGACGTAGCGGGAATGCGACGAGCGAGCTCGAAATTTCGCGTTATATATATCCCGAGGTTTTTAATTTTCCCTCTTTGTGGGATCCCACTTGGCGCGAATTCTCTGGCGAAATTATTGTGCACGCGCGAGGTACACCCGACATCCCAGGGCCGGCCACACCGTAATAGCTCTTATCACTAACTAGTCATAACCAGGTAATAATAAAAGGTGAACATAACTGACACGCGTTTATGTTATTTAGTTCTAACCACTGGGAGGAAAAAAGTAATAAAAACCAATCATGTTATGAAATCGGATGCATTTCTTCGCCGTGACTTCCTGGATCTGGATCGGAGGGAATTCTTCGACTTTTCTCACTCCATGTTTCGCTTCCTTGGGGTCATCTCGTGAAGAATTCTCGCAATGACCCCACTGACTTCCAAACCTCCTCTTCCGTCAATCTTCCACTCCTTCCACGGTGCCATTTCCTTGTTTCTCATTTTCGCTGCGGAATTTTTGAAAGAATCACGGACGGGACGTGCTTACAAGAGGTGCTCGACTTCCGCGTTCCGACTTCTCCCAGAAATTATGCACCGGGTCAGGTAAGTCATTTCCAGGTGACGTTTATGCGATTAGATGTAGACCCGAGCGTATGTCATTTTTTTTCACGTCATCCATTTTTTATTTTCTCTCATTAAAATAACAGTATCTGACCGCAATCGCGAGTGGGTACGTTTTCGTAATCATACAGGAATGCGTATCTGCATGAAAATAGTGATCGCGTATGAAGTCCAATCCTTTTCAATTGAAATAACGACAGTCGTTACGTATTCGTAATGTCTGTAGGAAAAGTTGTTGGCGAGTAAGCTCGATTCTTTTTTTTAAGCGAAATAAAGTAGACTCTCCCGAGGCGGTAATCGCTATCGATTTTTCCAACGTGAATGCTGTTTTCCCGGTAACGAGTTACACGTAGAAACTCGGATAACAGGAGGTCTCTTTTTAACTTTCAGAAATCCGATTCCGCTCCCGCGACAACGGGAGATAATTAACGCGAACGTCAGAAGAGAGGGAGAGGTAAAAGTCGCGAATACGCGAAGGCTCTAATGGCGGGATAAATAATGTAGGAAGGCGGTAATTGCGTCGACTCGTCTTATTTCCCCGTCGAAATTGCCCTTTCCTCGCGTGCATGCGACGCGATTACAAAACTGGTGCAGCCTCGGTTGCTGCAAAACGAGAGAAGAAATCGCGCGAGCTGTATGCGTTGCATCCGCTGCATCGTGCATCGGGGAGTGCACGTGGAAAAATCCAGGATCGAGTTACCTTTATCCCGATTAGAGAAACCCTTCTTTTTGCGATTCCTCCTTTGCCTTTTCCCCAGCGAGGCGCCCTTTAAATGCACTCCTCGATTTCCATTCACCTGCAGCTCCGATCGCTCCGAAAGGAAACTGGGTGGCCCTTTTGTTCCACCCGCCTTTTCGGATCTTCGCTGCAAAAGGGGAACGGGAATAAAGGAAGAAAACTCGGAGGAAGCGCGCACGCGCCCTGGCGTGCTTTTCTAATTTCACGCAAAATTGCATATTAATTGGTCCCTCGCGAAATCGATAACCCATTTTTGAGGCAAGGCGTGCACGTGGAGAGGGCATCGGTCCGTATGCGTGTCCGTAACCCTGCAAATACGTGCAAATACGTGCAAATACGTGCAAGCGGGTGCACGCGAACGGTGCCGAGGGCCGAACCGGGTCAAATCGAAGTACTGGCGGCCGCAAAGTGCACTCGTAGTCGTACGCGATATATCAATATTAATGTTTTGTGCCGCGGTGGCGGTGGAAACGAAAGCGACTCCTCGTTAAATTTCCCTTAGCGAAGTCGCGGCTCGCTCCGCGAAAACGTCAAACGTCGAAGGCCTCGTCCGCTTCACCGCGACCTGGAACATAAAGGCCGAGATAAATTACCGAGATATAAATACCGAAGGACCATGGCCCATCTCCGAGGAAACCGAGGAGAAATAAAACGCGCCGTTCCCCCGGGAGCGGAGTAATCTCGAGATCGATCGCGGACATTGATTTCCCAATGGGGAAAAGGTTGACACCAGGGAGGAGAGGAGTCCAAGGAATCCGACCCCCCCGTGCCCCCGACAAAGGTTGCTAGGGGGAAATTATGCCGGTAACTCGGGAGAAGAAAGGGTTACCCGAGATCGGTTTAATGCATTTCGTTAGCGAGCTGCCGGGCACAAAGTGGCTTCGATTTTCCCTGACTCCGAGGGACGCCGCTGCGCTTTAACGTCCTTCCGTATCGCCATCAAATTGCTATTGTGCTGAACGCAGCACGCAATAAAGTACATCTGTTCGACGCCACCGGTTACCGGAACCCGGTGTTCCAGTTTCCAATTCTACCCGATTCCATTGTCAGCGCCACTTGCGTCTCCGAGACGCTGCGGAATCTCCGCAGGACCTCCGGGGCAGGCGAGGCGGAACTGGGAAACTTGGAGATGGTGAAATCTAATGAAAGTCTACCCGAAAACTTCCTATCTCTCTGATATCGAAGCTGCGCCCTTGATATTTCCGAGTTGGCGAATCCGAAAAACTTGTGACATGATCGAATTTAAGAAAATTCAAATTTAATAAACGCCTCCTTTATTCTATTGTATTAAATTGTTCGGCGTTCCGAAAACGATATCTACCCCTTTTCACGGAATTCCAAGATTTTTTCGAAAAAATGTCAACGCGATTAAATTAAACGAAATAGCTGACGAACGGGGCTCCGCTCTCTCGAAGCCGGAAAGAAAATCTACGATTCTCGTATCTCCCCCCGTTCCGTAGGCGGCTCCATCGTATTTTTCGAATATCGACAAACACTCGAGAAATATGTGTGTAATTGACTCTCGGCCGCTATGCCGTGCAATATGTAGAAAATGCAATATCCATATTACAAACATTGCGCGGCGCGCTGAGATATTCCGTGCATATTGTGGAGTATTCGGAGTGTTCCGGGCGAACGAACGCCGAATGCAAATTTGTACGAGCCATTTGATTAATTGATTAGGGGGAAATGGAACCCGATAGCCATAGAACGAAGAACCAGGAATCCGGAGTTCCGCCGCGGAAGAAACGGCACGAGTGGGCCGATTTTTTTCTCCGCGTCGAGTTCCATCGACATTCGGTTAATTAAAAGTCCATTATAATGTCCAGTAATTGCAGACGTTGCCGATTTAAAGTTAAGCTTCTTCCGGCGAATTACTCTCCTCCGAGAGCTAAGTAGACCGAGCAGGGAACTCCAATAATGGGGCTCTCGTGTTTATTAATTATCGAAATTTACGACTAAGTAGTTACCAAGTAACCGGTTGTTTCATTGCCTCCCGGGCCAATAAAAACTCGGGATTCCGAATTAAAATAAACTCCGAATGAATTAGGGAGTCGTTTTAGCGAGCGATATCGCCCGACGTATTTACTGCGGAAACTCCGGGAAGTGCAGCTCGCTCCCCCGAGAATTCTTTAATTGAAAATCGATCATATTTTTGCATAATTAGCGTCGCCGCCGATACTCCATGGAAACTTTCTTTTTACGCGTTGGCCAAGGAGAGGCAAACAAAGTGGACGTAAATAAAGGGGATTTTCTTTCGCGAATTATCCAGGAAGACGTCGCAGGTAAAACGGGAAAAAAATGAAAAGAAAGTCATCGAAGAACGCCTGGAGAAAAATTCAATAAATAGTTAACCGCTTGCTAACTGAAATCACTTTTTAGCCTGCATCGCGACGACGATAAAATTCATTCTACGAGTCGCGAACCCCTCGCGAGCGAAATCGCTCGTCGATTTCGCTGATTTCGCGAATCGTCCGACACTCGCAACCTAGATACCTCGGTGCCACCTTGCGCAAGGAGTTTTGGATGCCAATTTCAAAATCGCTCGTTAGCGAGCAGCACTTTTTGCAGGCCATTAAGCACAATTCCGATCGGCAATCGCGAGCGAGTGGGACGCAAATCTTCACTCTGTCGAAAAGTCTTCGATCGGTCGAAGCGCTCCTTCCCTCTACCCTCGTTAAGTCGCCACTCGACGGTGCGAAGTAAATCGGAAATATTTATCGTTTTCTCCAAGAGAACCAGGGAACTAAAATTCCTGAACTAAAAGCAAACGCCGCGGGGTAATATGTGAAATTTGTCTCCGCTCGCCGAGAGCAAGGAGCCAGAAAAGGGGACTTTTCAAAATGGACGTCCCGGATTCGCTGGTCTGGGCTGCTTTGACGATTATCCTGGCAAGTGCCAGCTTTGCCGAGGACGTGTCACTGAACGTCAACCTGAAGAAGCCCGTGGCCATCGCCAGTGACAAATTCCTCAGCTTGACCATCGATCCATCCGTTCTACTAACGGACGATGTGCTCTCGTAAGTGGATTACTATATTTTTTCATCCGAATCTACGATGCAAATTGACGCGGCATAATTTTTCTCCGACATATCCAGAGGTACTCTTGATAACTGAATTTAATAATCGACCGAGAATTGCTTATATAAAAAATGGGAAATGAAAAATCCGTAGAAGCAGGCGAGGTGAACATATTTCGGTTTTCTGGGGGGCTCGTTCTCGGAGTATCGGGAAAGGGGAATAAATCGATGGTTAAACGCTTGTAAGAAACGGAGACGATAGTCTCGGGAACTGGGACATACAATTTCCAGAGTAGGCCGGTGGATAATTGTTTCCGAGTAGAAATAAAACCCGACCTGGGACAAAATCACCGTATTGAATGGTGGGAAAATGTCAAATCGACATGGAACCTGATCGAATCGCGACGGCTCGTTCTGCCAATTTAAGTCGACGTCCTTGACGAATTTTCACTCCGAAATCGAGCGAGATTCAAATAAAATTGCAATCGCCACTCTCGCCTCGATAAATTCGGTCCACGCGTCGACGCGGATCAGGGAAAGAATTCTAACGAAAATAAAATGATTCCATGCTCCGCGTCAAAAATTATTCCACGGTCGATATCTGGTTTCCGCCTCGATTTTCAATTTTTCCTTCAAAAAGACACTTCTTTGCGGGTAGAAAAAAATAATTTGGAATTTCAGGTCGAGGGCCGAGAAGACAGCCAATATGGCGAGAGCACTGTCTCCCGCGTTCATCAGACTGGGAGGACCGGCGAGCAATTCGTACACCTTCGAGCGGTCCCACTTCTCCCGAGAGGAGCGCGACCCGAATTTCACATTTTCCGGTGAGTAACGAACCGTTTCCCGTCCTTGGATCCAGCGTTTCTCGAAAACATTTAATATCTTTACGGCGGCGATGTAAAATGCACCGAAGCATTCCCTATAACCATTTTATTGATTGCGCGGTCGCGGCAAATGGAATTCCGTGTTTGGTATCTTTATGCCTTGCATTCGGACAACGACTCATCATCGATACGAGAGGCGGTAAAACTTTATGTCCGCGATTATGCGAAACAGGGCATACTTCTCTCCGTTTAAAGACTGCAAGAGAGCCTGGACTGCGAAAAAATTTCCCCCGAAAAATTGGCTCGACCTACGTTATCCGTCAAATTAATCACATATCGATAATAAAATCTTATAAAAATTCAGAGAATATTCCTCCTAGAATTAAACGCGGCGCGTAAATCTGGGGAATTGGCATCGATTTTCCTCGAAAAAGGGCAATTTTGGTCGAAGCACCAATCCGGGGCATTACTCGGCCGACCACCACGCGGTGGGAGTTCAGTGGATTAAACTAAACAATGCTTAATCCGCGGATGCACCGCGAAAGGAGAGGGGGCACCGAGAGCAGGAGATGCACCGACTCACCCCAGCATCCAACTTCTCAATCTCTCGGTTATTCGCCGGTTCCCGTTTGTGTCGTGAATTTCCCCGAGATTACTACTCATGCTAATTACTCGAAGCAGCCCGCAGCGATCCGGCGAATGGGCGACCGAGGAATCCGCCAGATCTGGACTCAGCATCCGGCAAGACGGAGCCGGACCGAGTCGTCCCCTCTCTCCCGAATCTCGCCCCTCGTCCTCTGCCCTGCTCAAACATGAGAAAATCTGACAGATTTTCGGTATCCATAGTTACACCAAAATTGCACATTTTCCCCGACTATTTAAATCGGTACATAGGAATTCTTCCTTAATAAAGTATTTAATTCATCGCGTTCTTTTAGTTTCGGCATAAGGTTCGTGGACTTATTAAATTTCTTAAGAGGGCGTTGACTTTGAAAAAAAATTGAGATGCCGGAGGAAATCGGGAAAATGAGAGGAATAAAAATAGGAGTCGACTCTTATTTTCCGAGGAAGGGGAAAAATTCGAGAGACCGGTGGGCCCTCGTAAAGACCGAACACTTGCCGGCTAGAAATCTAATGACGCGCCGTTATAACGCTCGTGATATTTACGACGTCATTAAAGTTACGACACCGTATCCGTACAGCCACTTCCAGGAGCGTTCCGATTCCTTGTCATCCCCGGAGAGGGATCCTGTCATCGTCCTGCTCCGCGATTTGCCTTAACAGTCCCCCGGGATCGGGACAGTTAAAGCCATTTAAATAATCGCGACCTACATCTAGAAGAGGAAGCCGAAGGGAACTCGGCGATGCATCGCGCATACCTTAGCAGGGAATAAAATCTAAATGGTCGTAGCTAGGATCGAGCGTCTTAAATTTGAAAAAAGGTTTTTTTCTAATAAATCACCTGGGCCGAAAATTGGGGGACTCGGCCCGATGAGGCGTCGCCGGAATGGGGAAACGTTCGTCCCTGTTACCAGGGGATAAATTTACCGGGAAATTAATCAACTTCCGGTTGGAGCCGATATCGATGGCCGCGTCTCTCCCGGAATCGAAGGAGAGAGGAATTCCTCGGGCTGATCGACGAGTCGGTGCAATAAGTCAGCTGACCGCCAATGAAAGCCGATCTCGTTTCGACTGCTCGCGAATCCCCCCAGCATCCGAGGCTGGTCCAGCGGGCACATCTCTGAAGTCACAGAGCGACCAGCGGGGCGATCGATATCTCCTCCACCTTAAAGACACGTCGAAAACTTCCGGGTAGAAAAAAGAATCTCAATTCCCTAAAAAATATTCGATATGTCGCCGCGACTGGACACTCCAGGTTACCTGTCTTCACCTGGGTAAATGATATAAAATATTAAATAGCGTAGGTCGATGCTTAATTTTTGAAAGGCACGGTGAAACCTCTCGACCAAATTCTCGGTAAAAATATTCATTACGTCTGACGTGCATTAGGGAGCAATAATGGGCACGCCACTCAAAATGAAGGGAGGGCTCCCTTCGGAACCCTTCCGCGGGTCGTGTCGAGCACGACGGAGTGCAGGATGCACGCGTGCACGTATATTCTGATTTTAGAAGCGCACTGGATTCTGGTGCAGCAGTGGGCGGAGACGGCGGGCCTGGAAGTGATAGCATGCATCGCACCTCACCGGTCTGATAATAATGGCGCTCGAACACCATCCTGGGACTCCAGGAACGCCCTGGATCTGATTTCCTTCAGCGATCGAAATGGCTACAACATGAGCTGGCAGTTAGGCTACGGTAATTTCCCTATAACAAATCCTAATCGATAAACCTTCAGCTTTTTCCGCCTGAAAACTTCCCGAGCCCACTTTTCGGGCACTTAAGAAATTGCTGGATAAAATTATTAGGGATTAATCGGTAGATCGAAATGAATATGAAATTGATAAATTCCAGAATGCCAAACCAGGTGCGACGTGTCCGGGACAGACCTCGGAAAGGACGTGGGGCGTTTGAGGAGCATGTTGGATGCATTTCCGAGGTACGCGAAAAGTTTCGTGGCTGGTCCTGATGTCGTTACCTTCAGGAGCAAGCAGCAGCAACAGTATCTGCATGATTACCTCAATGCAGCGGGGAGTGCACTCACTGCGCTGACTTGGCATCCGTGAGTAAATCGCTGAAATCCACTTTGCGTGAATTGCGCCTCCCTGCGCCGCTGTTTTATTCCGGTACTCCGAGCACCGGGATCGTATTAAATTTGCAGACATTTTAACGGTGCGGATTCGGTGCAAGATTTTTTTTCTCACAAATTACAGAGATTTTGCCGGCATAAGTTTGGACGCTGAGGGGGTCTCATTGCACCACGATCAGCTGGGCCTCGAGAAGGACGGACTGTACAGAGTTCTGGGCAGGTCGATTTCGAAGAAGCCTCTTTGGATCGGTGCGTTCGATTGTCCCAAAAAAATTATTAAGTGGTTTCGGCGGAGACTTGAAAAATTGACAAATCGTTGCAGCCGAGTCCAAGCCCGAGGAGTGCAAGAAACAATTTCTGGGAGCTCTCGTTTGGACGAGGAGACTCGGAAATGCAGCGAAACTCGGAGTGCAGGTCATCATGAGGCAGCCCGACAAATCCAATCTCTTCCAACCGTCGCCGGTAAACGAGACTCCGATTTTCCGTGAAAAAGCACGAAGGAGGCTCAACGGGGCTTTCATCCATGCCTTTTTGCAGGATTATTGGGTATCTGTGCTGCACAAAATGCTCGTGGGCAGAGAGGTACTCGACGCGAAGATGACGATCGGTAACCGGACGCACGTGCACTTTTACTGTCAGTGCACGAGGCCCTCTTCGAGATACGAGAAGGGCTCGTTGACGGTTTTCGGGATCAACCTGACCCCGGGCAAGGTTGTGGCGAACCTAAAGGGCCTGAAGATCAAGACCCTACACAAGTATATCCTGCTTCCTGGCTTTGACGCGCCGAATCGGATGTTCGCCGAGTAAGTTCGACCCTGAAGAGTACGAGATTTCTCCTAATTCCTTCAATAAGAAATGCTGGATTAGCAAATGAATTTGCGACAGCGGATAAAAAATTTGTCAAAAAAACGGTTAAAAATAGGACGTAAATGTAAATGATTTCAGGACCGTCCTACTCAACAACGAGCCGCTGCAGCTGATTAACGAGACCTTCGTCCCTGATATTAACCCGGCGATTTCCATTAGTGGGAAAGGTGCCAATTTGAAGTTACCGTCAGGTGCGATCGGCTTCTGGGTGATTCCTGGTCTGAAGGTTCGTGGAGTGAAAAATTCTAGACTTCGGAAAAATTTTTCCCTACCCGCCAAAATGGAAACCCTATAACCCGACTTAACATAATTCACAAAAATTTTCAGATAAAGTCCTGCATGGGTCACGACGACGAGACGGCCGAAAAGATGTTGCTGAAGAAGTTAACTAAGAGGCTGGAAGACCTGGACGCGGAAGAGGAGATGTTCCGGGAGGACGAGGAGGACCTGGACCTGGACATCTCGTCGATGGAGGACAGAAGATCGCTGAAGCAGCAACAGAAGAAAAAAAGGAAGATCAAGTACAGACATAGCGAGGAGGACGAGGACGAGCGGAGGTTCCGGAAAATCGAATCCAGGAAGGACCTGGAAAAGGTGGATCGGATCTTGAAGAGGAGGGAGAATCTGGAGGAAAGAAAACCCCACGTTCTGCGAGGAAGAGGTCACTTCGTCCTGGACGAGAACGCCGAGAAAATGGAGGAAATGTCGGAGGAAGAAGTAGCCGAACAACCAAAATTTACGAAACTTGACTCAGGAGAAGAAATCAGGGCCAAACTCGAAGAGTACAAAAATCGACTAATAGAGTACGAGAATAAAAAAAGAATGACCGAGGATCAAGAAGAGAATCTCCCCGAAAAAATAAACGCGAATTTTAAGGAAGACGAGAGAAGAGACCCGGAGATCAGCTCGGAAATAAAAATGAAGGAGGTGCAGTCGAGTCCTGTCGAGGACCACGCGAGCTTTTTGAGTTCAGGACAATCGAACAACGCAGCTGACGTAAAAACTACGAATCAATCGCCGACCGAAGATCGATCATCGGAATCGATCGAGTCGGACAAGTCAAAAAGGACCTCCACGTCCGCAACATTCGAGGACCAGCTGAGGACTCTTTCGAAGGCCCTTGTCGGCGAGAAGGTGAGGCGTAGAAGAGACGCCATCGTCCGACCCAAAAGAGATCTCGACAAAACGTTCGGCGACGATCCCCTGGGTCTGCGTCGAGACAGTATTTTCAGGAAGAGGTCAAAAAACGAGGACATCAAGGAGCGCAGGTGGGAGCGAAGGAATCGAAGAAAGGAAAAGGAAGAGACCCTGAAGAAGGAGGTCCAGCCGGTGCTCTTCGACCCCCGCAACGCGGACAGCAACGAGAACAACTTCTACGGGTTTGCGAAGAGAGACCCCTTGAAGGGATTTCCCGAGGGCGACGTGTACTTCGGCACGGGAACCTCATCCGAGGAGAAGGTGAAGGACTACGACTACGTGAAGGACGACGAAGAGGTGGAGACGGAGGAGCAGAAGCTGAGGAGGCGGAAATCGACGAGCATCCGGAAGTCGCCGGAGCCGGACGACACCTGGATCGAAGAAGACACCCAGGGCATGTCCAGTTACACGCCCTACGAATTCTTCGAGAACGTGAACATGCCGATAGCCAGGATAAAGGAAAACCTGCGAGGCTACGGAGAGCTCTTCGAGGCCGACTCCTGGCAGGACACGGGAATGGACGCCGAAGAGGCCCTTCGAGACGACGACGCCGTTGCCGACGAGATCGTCGAAGAGGCGCATTTCGACGAACACGAGGACAAGATGGCAAAGGAGAGCGCGGTGAAGACTCTGATAAATTATTACGACAAGGCGGAGATCCTAAAGGACGAGCCGGACTACGACGTGGAAGAAACGCCCGTAAGAACCAAGATCTCTTCAAGGTCCGGGAACAGAGATAGACAAGTTCCGGGCGCGAAAACCAGGAAAAGGGTGAAGAACTTCCACTCCCAGGAGGCCGAAGAGTACGCGGACTTTGACGCGATGCACTTCGCCAATGCCGATGCATTTTCTGAAGACCGCTTCAGGCAGTTAGACGGTTTCGGGTTGGAGAACAGGCAGAAGAATGGAAGAAGGGCCAGGAGGGACTTAAACGCGATTCTCGACGAGGAGATGTTCCATCAGGACGAAGATGACTTGAACCACCGATTTATTCGGGATGTTAACTTGCAGAATGCATTCCTGGACGGGGAGGTGCTTCTTCGGGCTCAAGAGACCTTGGAGAAAAATCAGGGAAACGAGAGAGTCATCAGAGACATGTATCCATATAAATACAAGGATAGTAAAAAACGAAGAAAGCAAAGAGGTCCGCGGAGCGCGGTCGATAGCTTCGAAGTTGCCTCTGACTTGGAGGACCCCGAAGAGGTCGACGAGAGGTACAAAAGAATTTCGGAATCCTCCGAAGATCTCAAGAAAAGCGAGGATTGGGATTCCAAGGAACCGTTTAATTATTATCAGGACGAAGAGGCGTTTTATCAGCCCCGAGTGGACTTGGAAAATTCCGAAGACCCTGAAGAACGGGTCTACTACAAGGACGGGGTGTCGAGCATCCAGGTCGTGCAGAAGATCCAGCCAGGAAGAGCGCCACTGGACGCGTCCCAGGAAAATTACGAAGAGGCACCACATCAGCGATACTGGGAGCAGGGAATCCAAGAACCACCTCTACAAATGGCTCCATTGATACCCGAAGAAGGACTTTTGTTGATCGAAGATTCCCCGTCATGGGAGGAAGAAGATGAAGAGGAAGTGGAAGCGGAAAATGACTTACCGAGAGTTCAGATCGTTCGTCGGGTCCCTTCGATTCCGATAGAACCGATCGAAATCAGTGAAGAAATCGAACGGAAAGTCCAGGTCCCTCGTCAGATCGCTCCAGTACTTGAAGAGGAGAAAGTGAAAAGCGCCGAAGAAATTGCGACGGATCTTCAAATTCGATCACCAGCAAATAAAAGAAAAGAGCCTTTCGTGAGTAATGTCAAGGTGCAATCTCCCCCGAAAAAGAGGTCCAGACTGGCGCAGTCCTTTCGCAGAGCTCAGGAGCACCTTGAAGAAATGGAAGCGGATCTGCAGAGAGAGGCAAAAACGGCTGAAGAAGCTTCAGCGTTGGAGATGGATAGGGTGTCTGAAGCACCTCGAGTCTTGAAGGAGATCTCAGGGTCTATAGACCCTGTCGAAGACGGAGGCAACGTCGACCCTAACGAAGAAACGCCGTTGGTGAACCGGGTCGATAGGTCATCCAAAGCGAAGGCCACTGTTGAAAAAGATAAATCCGAAGAGACTTCTTCGGATTATTTGGTGAACCAGTCGGAGCCTCTAGAGGACACAAAAAATCTGAAGCACGTCGAAACCGAGACGAACTGGAATGGAGAAGACGAAGAGTCATCTAATCCACCTTCTTCCGTGTTGAGGAAAAGGAACCCTGAAGAATCTGACTTGCCAGGGTCGTTATTCGATGCTTTCGGCAATGTCGAGCAGTCCAATTTCAGATGCTCGAAAGGGAACCCAAGGACCGGAAGAAAAACTGCCGACAGTTCGAGTATCTCTTCGGGAACTTTTTCAAGAACTGAAAATTCCTTCATGGGCAAAGTGGACCAGGATTCCCCGAGGATGTCCACTGGTCTTTCACGAAGAAGAGCGCAAAGTCCTTCCTCCGGTTCGGAGAGTGAAGAACCTCAAACTCGGAAAAGTGGAAGAAGAGAACCGAAAATCATTCGCGGTGGAAATAGAACGAAAATTCCGAAAGTGACCACGGAAATGCCAAGTAGCGATGTCGAAAACGAGGATACTTCGAAAGTCGATGAAAGCATTCGCACCGAAAGGAAAAGCGAAGAGGGGCAGAATCCTCGGAAAATGGAGGAAATTTTGGACCCCTCGAAAAACGAAAGCGAAAAAAATGCTCCGACGAGGAAGACCGGTTATGAAAAAATAACCACTGATTATGAATCGACTACCGGAACCGAAATTGTAGAAGACGATTCAGGAAAAACAGAAAGCGAAAATGTCCGCGAGGAGAGAAAAGCCGAAGACGAGGGGAAACTACCCGGCAACGTACGAGAAGAACCGGAAAAAGAAGACGACGAAGGGAAAATTACTCTTTCGAGCGAAGCTATTCTGGAAGAGTCGATAAATATTCCCGCCGATCTGCCGAGCGAGTCGGGAGCCGCGAAGCTGATAAGAGAGGCCCTGAAGAGGATTAAGATAAGACCGGATACCCCGAAAATGAAGAGGAAGACCACTGGGAAGGCTGAAGAGATGTCGAAAGCTCGCGAAGCTAGAATGACTGCGAGAAACGAGGCTCTTCAGGCCCTGAAGAGAGAAAGCGAGAGAAAGGTGGCGGAGAACATCAACATCCTGGAGAACATGGTGAAGTTGAGATCGGTGGATCAGAAGAAGAAATTGGAGCAGCTGGAAAAATTGAAAGACAGACTGAGACTGAAGCGAGGAAAAGGTGCCCAGCAATACAAGGACGAATTTCTGGAAGCTATGCACGATCTAAAAATAAGTGATCATAGAACGCTGAAGAAGAGGGACGTTTGGCAAGGTGGAAAAATCGACTATCCAGAAAATAGTCGGCCGATCGCGATGGACCAGGAAAAATTCGACTACATTCTTGCAAACAGACCTATCGACTACCCTGTACCTGCAGATTACTCGAAGCCAATTCATCTAGAGACTCCGAAGTACGTCCCCGAAGTGGAGACCGTGAGGCCACTCCACGACGTCAGGGAACGGAAAGTCGAGCCTCTTCCAATACACTCCAGATCGGTCAAGGATCCAAAATTGTTGGAATTTTCTGAGATGTCTAATCCGAGCCTGATGCACGTCTTGAAACGCCGACTGACCGAGGAACTTGAAGAGAAAACCGAGAAAAATAGTTCCTCCGAGGTGACGACCTCGAATGCCCAAGAAATGGGCAGTTTTGAAAGTTCACGGGTATTTTATTCGGGCTATCCAAATTTGGATTACAATGGGTATACTCAGAATTATTTAGGCAATCCTGAAGGAATTTTCTCGCCATACGGATTCTATGGATATACTCCGATATTGGACGTGAGCTCGTATGATAACAGATTTTTGGGAGATCAGCTCCAGGATTTGGATTCGAATAGGGAAGAACACGAAACTGTGAATCGCTTGGATAGAACTGCTTATGGATCTCCCGTAGAAGAGTATTCTAACGTGCCCAGTATAGACGGAAATTATGGACAGGGTTTTATGCACCAAATTTTGGAGATCGACCCTTCCACCTACACCGGTGGAGAGCCGATATTGAATATCCGGGAGATTTACTTCGCACCTGGTATCAATAGATTTCTGCCATTTTGGAGTGGACCTTACTACAATCCAGAGAATTATTTAACGAGGGTGCAAGAAAATCCGGAATCGACGAGCGAGAGTGATGCAAAAGAAAAGGTCTCGTCAGGGCTCTCTCCCGGAATCTCTTCAGGGTCCACCGATCCCCCCGAAGAGGCAAAAGAAGAGTTCACCTCTCCAGAGCGCATAACGATAAACATGAAGAATGACGTCCCCGCGAATGGAAAGATAGAAACGAAAGACCCCGAAAACGTGGAAAGGGGTAAAAAGGAGGTACAAGCCGAAGCGAAGGTTGAACCCACGACGGAAAATCTGGGAACGCTGAAGTCCCTAAAAAATGAAGAAACTATCCAAGCTAAAAATGACGCGACTCAACAAGGAGAATTGAGAAACGCAAGGGCATCGGGGGCTTTCATGATTTTGGAAAACAGGAGAAAAATCGAGGAGGAGGTTCGAAAGGGAATCGAAGCCGAAGAGAGAGTTCGCAGCTTGGCGGTAGCGGAGCCAGATTTTCCTGATAATTTCGACGCCACCGCTGAAAGGAAAATTCGATCGCGAAGAAAGCTCTCCATTCGCGGAAGAAGATCCGTTGTCGAAGAGCAGTCCGAAGAAGCCTCGATTGCATCTCCGACGACCGAATCATCGGTAGAAAAGAAATCCGTGAAAAATGTCACCTGTAATTACATGTGCCTGAAGGAAAATTCAAATGAAGCTTCGGGAGAAGACAAGCTTTTCAAGGTGATCAAAGAAGAAGACCATTACAAAGCGCTGCCCATTGATGAGATTGCGGTGAACGAAGAATACACGAAGAACATGCAAAAAATAAATAGCGAAGCTAATAGAAAGTACAAGAGTCCAAGGTACGAAAGACTGGCACCGAGACATGCCGAAGACGTGGATAAGGGAGCGGGTAAAGGGAAAGAGAGTCCAATTCTCCTTGAAGAGAACCCTGAAGAGGTTTCTCCCGAAGGGACGGATTCTTCGATAGCTCGCGAAGAGTCCACAGACTTTCCTGACAAGGCGGACGACCGAGTTAGTAAGAAGAATATCGAACTTAAATACGATAGACTGGCTAAAAAGAGTGCCGAGGAATCGAGGAGCAAGAAAGAGACAAAGAACCGTCCCCCAAATTCGTATCAAAGCGCGAACGCCGGACAGAGAATAAGAGAACCGTTTTCGGAAGAGGACTCGGGGTCGGTGGAACTTCACCCATTATTTTCAAAATTGAGGGCCGTCGAGAACGAGATGGACTATGGCGAATCTTCTCGAGGATTTTCGAGGAAGAGCGCTTCACCTTCGAGGAGACAACCCGAAAAATACCCGAAGAGACAAGCTTTCCTCCTGGACCTCCCCGACGTTTATCCCCAGACCCTGAATTCGCGTTTTCGCAACGACGAGAGGAGATACAGAGACTACAGAGACGTCTACGTAGACTTGGACAGCCTCGAAGCGAGTAATTACGAATTGCTAATGTTGGTTCCAGTGAAGAGTCAGAAGCTGAAGAGACAACGGAGGAGCATCGACGACCCCGCGATTAAGACTCTGGACAGTGAACCGAATGAATTGCGCAAAAAAATTGAAAATCCTTATCGGACCTTCGATTTTCAACCCTACGTAAAGGACACGGAAAGCGTTAAATCTATAGAAGATTATATAAAAAGGACTAACGATATTCTGAGGTCTGCAGTGACAGCGAACATCGCAAATCCCAGCAACAATGACAAACTTTCAAAAACTCTGAATAAAATACTAAACCCCAAATCGGACCTTAAGGAGCTTAACAAAATATCGCTGAATTTTAGCAATGACCTGAGGAACCAACTCGAATCCGAAGAAAGAACCTGGATCGACTCGAAAAACGCTATTTTGAAGTCGGAAATTCCCGATGGGAAAATTGGTGGGAGTAAACCCAAGTCTTATCTGGAAGACACGATTGGAAAGGTGGAAGACGCGATAACGGGCGGACTGAAGAAGGCGGAAAATCTATCGGAATCCGTGGAACAATTGGTCAATGATTTCGACAAATTAAACGAAGAACTCGAATGGAAGAGAGCGGTAGGACGTACGTTAACGAGTGATTCGAAACTGTCTACTCGAACGGTATTTAGTGACATACTGGATAACGTTAAAAGATTCTTCACTCTTCTATCAGGAATTGTTCGCGTTTTCAATGCTTAATGTTTGCGAATTCTTTGACATTACTAGTTTAAACCCTGACATGAAAAAAAAAAACGTCTTCTGCAAATATACGTCCACATTTTCAGATGACGAAACAATAATTATCGCAATCATCTGCTGTGCTTAATTTAATATTCTAAGCTTAATAAGTTAACGATTTTAAGAATCTACCCTTATTTATTACGCTAGTTAATTTTTATAGTATCTATGTAGCTTTTTGTATCGTCTACAAGTGTCCATAAACTTTCGAGAAAGAAAAGCGTGGTTTCTTTCTTGGACTTATACATCGCTTATATTTCCACTGCATTGCGTATATCACACGGCTTACATTGTTCGAACGGATTAATTCTTCGATTGGGAATAAAACGTAAATTGTAAAATGGGTTCGGAACTCATTGTACGTACTTTTATTTTGTTTCACGGATAAAAAGCCGCCGTGGACGGTCGATCGTTACGAGAGGGATGAGAATTTCTTTGAGAATATTTTCTTATTTCAAAAATTTCATTACCGTTTTCCGTACACGATGAAAACGTATCGTGAATATTTAACGATACAGAATTTTTATATAGATGGAATGCTATTTCCCTCGGGTATAGGGCGAAACGACAATAATGTAGAGGATGCCGTGTGATGTGAGTTGCCTAAATAATGAAACGCACCTCGTGACCAGCACGTGTATATTATCATTAAAAAGGTAGGATAATGTACCAATCGCAGCCTCAAGCAGCACGTACAGTGTCCCGTTTAACAACTGAAGCTGTAATAGAATATAATTTATGAGTTAATAGAAACGTGATACGCCGCTTAAAATGTGTCCAGTATGAAAAACTCGCCGATAACTATTTCTAAATAGATACAGTTGGTTCGGTTTTGCACTTATACAATTTTCATCGTACTCCAATTAAGTCCTAATTAATTTAACGTATCAATCGCGGAAACAAATATACATTCAGTCGATCCAGAATACTCGAGGGAACGTTTGTAGAAATGCCGCGATACCGGTTGCGGTCCACGCTGAAAGGATGTAAAAAATGCAACTTTTAACAACTGTAATTCAGTATAATCGCACCGCGAATTTTCCGTTACCGTTAAACTCTATTGGTAGGTGCCGAACGATTGCTAACTAAACATTCAGTTGTCATCGACAGCATCTAATTACAAAAAGATAGTTTTTACAATGGTAGTCGAATCACGGATCAATTGCTCCATTACAATTATTAAATTACATTGACCGCATCACTGGTACCGACTTTAAGTGTTGAATTAATTTTAGCTATTTGCTCTTTGAATATTTATTTTCCTTGTGCGGCGATCACAGTTGCTTAGAGCCTTCGGTCTTTTTAGGAGAGGGCGGAACTATTGGTGGGTTTCGAACTGATTCGGAACTGGAACTTGGTTTTAAAACAGCAGCCGAAGAGTCCCTTTCGCCATCTATGGATGCGGATGTATTTTTAAAGCTCTTCTTTGGCTCTGCAATCTCGTCTTTCAATTCTTCGTCTTTATTCCTGGGCTCCTTCGTCACCGGAGTGGCTGGTACCGGTGATGGTGTTACTTTTATCTGTTCCTCCTGTCCTTTACCTTCCTCTTCTTCCTTTTTCAAGGCCTTTTGAATCTGTTCTTCAACTTCTAGCACTTCTTCTTTGTCCATCAACTCGATTAATTCGTTGACTTGTTTTTTGCTCAACTTCACGTCTTCCTTGCCGATCAGTTCGACCACCTAGGAAAAATAAAATCATGACAAATATATCGGTTCGTCTCGTCTAACAATCATACTAATAAAAAATTTCCCGTGAAACGCGCTTCCTAACAAAATAAATAACTGTACCTTCAAAATATCCTCGATTTTAATTGCACCATCCCGATCGTCGTCAATCTTGCCCAATATCTCAGCTATGTGCGCCAAGCGAAATTCGTCGGGAACGTTCTGAATTTTTTTAATGGCAGCAATAAGCTCATCTATTCTGACCAACTCAGCTGCCGCCTTAGAGTCGAGTTTTACATCAGGAGGTAATGCTTCGATCTCTTTCTTCATCTTCTTTTCCGACTGCTCAAGTTCCGTAAGGACAGCATCCATCTTGCTGATCATCTTGTTGACCTTGTTGAAAAGTCTCTTGGCTCCCTTCGATACTTTGATACTTTCAATATCCGCTTCACCCTTAGCCTCGGCCTTCATCTTATAAAGCTCCTGAATATCCTCTTGGTACTCAGCCATTTCTTCTTTTAGCTCCTTAATTTCTTCCTTCTCTACGGCCATCTTCTTGTCCTGTGCAATGTTTAATAATTAGATCATAAATTAATTAGAGGATTAACTAATGAAATAAAGTACTGGCAAATGATACCGACCTTGCCAATTGTGTCTAAAGCCTGTTCCAGAGCCTTGACATCGGTAGTGGTGATTTCATCGATCTTGTCACTACGAGTGAAAACAACAGGTTCTGGCGGAGCTTCCTTCTTCTCTCTTCTTTCTTCTTCGATTTTCTTCTCTTCTAGTTTTATAATCTCAATATTCGTTCTGTGATCGAGTTTGCCTTCCTTCTCTCCAATAGCACCCGTAGTACGAGCAACAACGGCATCGGGAAGTGCCGATATCGTGGCCTTTAGCTTATCGGTCATGGGAATAGTGTCCGAAACCATCAGAGCCCGGGTAAGCAATAACAGCGATGCCGATACTTTTTTATTTAAGCTTAAGTCAAGCCACTGTGACAATTGTTCTTTTAATTTGTGGTCTGGCAGCCCATAGGCTCGCATACCTCGTGCTTTGCACGCTTGCTGAAGTTCAGCTCTTGTTAAGGACTCGACTCCCTCCTTTTCGATCAGCTGATAAATACAAGTAAAAAATAAATACCGGTAACCATGCAGCGAAAAATTCAATATTTCACCCTTACAACTTATCAACATTTCACACTTGCTTAAAGGAATTATCGTAACACACTGAGGAATTAAACGGTACAGTAACAATGTAATGAACCTGTAACGAAAGAGACTGTACCTTATCGTCAGCTACGAGACTCCTTAGCTTCATCCTGAGGAGAAAACGAAGAAAATTGGAAGTGCCGAGTGTCCGTACATCCAATACTCGACACAAGGCAACCAACTGAGGCCGGGTGAGGGAATCTAATGTTATTTCATCCTCAAACAATTTACTGAATTTCATAATTTCATCGGTAGTAGCAACGGCACCCGTTTTTCGCAATTTGTAAAAGAATTCTGTGAACTCTTTTGCGTTTTCGGATACATGACTCGACGATTGAACCGCCATGTCATCTAGAGTTTTTTGTAGAAACTTTGCCATTTCTATCTTCACCTTTAAGGCCTGTTTAAGCTTATCTTCCTTTTCAGTAGCAGTCTGAAAGGTCGAAGGTAGCATTCCTGGGAAAAGTTTTATCGCTACTGGTAATAAAAATTCCATAAAAGGAACAATGATGAACACAGAGAAGGGTATCAGTCTGAACATGTCCCCGGTTGTTTTTATGAGCTGCAAATAAGGTTCGGTGTTAGAACCACTTGAGAAAATAACTAAAATATACATCACCCGTGCAAATTATAAGATGGCACGTATTGCCATACCAGGACCGAGTAAAGCATACCAATCTGTGCTCTCTTCTGCTAAGTTCTTTTCCTTTAAGGATTCTCCATATTAACTTTGCTGAAATCTTCATGTCTAGCCCTAGTAATCGAAATCCATGATAATAGTGAAGCATTTCAGCTTTTATTTTTTGCCAGAGGGCAGAAAGTCGCTTCTCGGCCACAGCTTTTTCCGGCGGTTTGACGACATCGGTCGTCGGTGCTGCGGTCATCTTTTCCTTTTGCTCTTTCTGTTCCTTCAAAGACTTTACAGTTTCTTCGACTTTGGAAGAGGACTCTTGCCCCTTCCATGTCGGTGTCGTATAAAAACTACGGACACGAGCATATGACACATCGTTGGAAACCCCCAGTGGAAACGGATTGACAAGTCTCGGAATGACTTTAAATTCTCTCACGTCCGTACATATAGTAGCTAAACTCGAGAGCCTATAATAGTCGTTATGCCAGGTTGTCCGATAACACGTATCTGAGAATTAAATTAAATATCAAAAATTTCCTGTACCTTTTCCACCAAAAACCACGTAAAATACCAAACATCAAACGAAAATACCGTGCAGTCACAAACTAGTCCATCATTATACAAAGTACAAAATAAATCACATGTAAAAACATAAATATTTTAACGTCTTTCACCTAAGCGATTAAAAATAGGAAAGGTATTTTTCCACGTCGGATCCTGGTTCGAACTTTGCACTAACACGATACTCTAAAAAATTTAATCGGCTACTCGGCGATAAGCACATTGTAATTAAGTAATTCAAACGTGATCCCACTCAATTGTATCTAACTCTACACGTTGACTGTTTAATTCGAAAGACAGATTAATTATGTGAATAGCGAGTAGACACCTAACGACGTCAGAGTTCACACACCTGCGGTCCCGAATTACGTGACCTAACCTAGAGCCGTGTCAAATGTTGGCGAAGGACGCAAAGTGCGAAAGAGATTGCATACAAAAACTCGGGCAATTCGGAGTCACGCATATTAATAGTTATACAGTGGCAGATGTATTTTTCCACGTTACATAAACACGGCCGCGTATTCGCTAGCAGAACGGCGCACACATACAACGCTTCGAAAATAATAGTGATCGAATAGGCGACAATTGTAGGTTAAGCTCGTACTTACGTCTTAGAACATTGAAGTTCATGACCACCATGGCTTTCGTTGAAATTAAAGGATTCATTTTGATCTAAATCTCTCGTATTTTTCGAATGTTTTCAAAGCCGTGTTCCGTGCAGATATACAGTACAGCACGGCCATCACATAGTTTCCAAATGCACTGAACGAACTGAACGAACTGAACGCGGTATCAGTCGGACCAACCACGAGGGAAGAACCTTTTTTTTCTAAACCATGGGAACACAGAGATGAGTTGGGAGATTGCTCAGGGGCAGGGTCGCACGATCGAGTGCCTCCCCCGGTGGAGAATGTGGACGGCTAACGCACTTGCCACCTAGAGACGCGGTAATGTGAAATACAGTCAAATCAGTCAAATGTGGTCAAATGGCTCATAGGTGGCACACGTGACACTTCTATCTTTTACACATTCCGTGTTATCAATAAAAGTCTACTGATTTTGAAAAGCGAAATAATTTGTGTTAAAAGTATGCGTACTTTCGAAGAAACCGAATCGCTGGAAGGTAATAAAAACAGCGAAGTTGAATCAAATAGTACCGACTCTTGTTCGCCGTCCCTTGCTCTTGCAGGGCGCAGGTCACCGTAAGTTTATCCTAAATATTCGTAGTAATTTCCTGTCCTATAGTTTTGTGGCTATGTATTTAGTCACTTGAAAAGTGAAAACACGTTTTGGCTGATTGGATATTTTACATTAACTATACTTAGTTATTTGTTTTCTTGCGGAGGTTTCAAAACTGGGAAAGAAAAGAAATGATAAATTATTTATGCGAAGAGGAAAGTATAGGTAGAGCTAAAGGATTAAAAGTATGGCAAGAGTTAATCGACGAGGGAGTAAGTGTGGTCATTTTTGCCATCCAATTTGAACGTAATTAACATCATTATCGTGCAGTGATTAAAAATAATAATTGACTTGTTAATTAATTGTTTCAGAAGCTCACGCATAGAACTCCGTTTTCATTACAAAATCACTTTTTAAAGAAAATACTACCTAATATTCATCATTACGTGAAAGATCCCAGATATTTAGAAATGTTTGAAAATTTAAAAAGGTAACAGGAGTTAAATTGATGATAAAAATGTTGATTGAGACTACTGCACAATAATAAAAAATGGTAAATAGTTTTGTATCGATAGTGCTAATTCTGGATGGGCATGTTTATTTATTATTAGCCGGTGCTATTACTGCTTTTTTTTTTTTTTTTTTTCTAACCACAGTGGGAAGCTTTGTCAGGTTTTTCTGACTCTACATTCTGAAAAATAAGAGTTACCATTTGAGAGAAACGCAATAGCACAAAGGATATCTAAGAATGCAGATCGTATTGTAATAATATTATAGCATAATTAATTTCCCACCGTAACGGTATACCAACAAAAATGGTCTTGCGCAGAGGAGGACTACTTCCCCCTCCTTACATATTTATTGTAACTGGTTTAATTACTTATTTACATTATTATTACATGTAGTGGTTGACGCCTCGTATTTTACGTGTAAAATTTTACAATTATCTTGTCCTGGATACTGGATAGGGAATCGGTGAGGGCACGATGTCTATATTTACACAGTAATTTACAGATACGGGAAACTATTTAAGAATTAAAAATACGGAAGAGTCGTGACCGTCGATCGATTTCAAGTATAACATAACGTGCGTACACGTGACAGGGTATATATGATAACAATTCCAAAGGATACCAAGGAATATAGCACAACAACGAAGGACTCGATTGACTGCTCGGTAGCGAGGGATATATCCTGTCGTTTCCAAGGTGGCATGAGATTTTTCTTAATTCTCATCGGAGTGACAACCGATGGCATGGTCACGGAAGCTTAGAAGAATAAATAAAGATATGGCGTGAAAATGTGAGTTGTTCACGTGATATTACTCCCTCTTAAAGTCAACATCGTGTGCGCTTGACTCAGTAATCACAGCCACAGGAAGCAATATTGTGTGTGTATGTGTGTATGCGGTACGCTCGAACAAGTGTGCGAGTCACGTTATTAACGATTCGAACGAAATACTATCGAGTTAGAATCTGCGACATTTAACCCTTTCCCTTTTCTTCTTTAAAGAAACCGAGGAAATCTGTCCTTTAACTTTGACAATACTTTTTTTTTTTTTCACCGCGCCCGTTCGTGCGGGTCGAGGCAAACGAATACTTTTCGGGACATCCTTTTGCCGGCAAAGGTTCCCTGTCGATGGAGGCATTGGGCAATTTAGATCGTTAAGAGAATGTGAAAGTGGCATCAGAAACCTACTGAGCTTTCGAATCGGTCATGAAACTTTTCTCCGACCTAGGTGTACCGAATCGTTTCAAACTTTACAACGTGAACATGGAGTCTATAAGGAAGGTCTTGACCCTCGTGAAATTTCACTTATCAAAAATTTTCAAAATATCGGTAAACAGATTTTAAAAAAATTGAAATCTCATGGGTGTCAGGACCTTTCTCGTAGCCTCTACATTCACGGTGTAAGATTTGAAACGATTCGGCACACCCAGTTCGGAGAAAAGTTTCGCGAACGATTGATCTCTCGGACGCCACTTCCACATCCCTTTAACGATCTCAAGATAATCGTGTTCCGTTAATAACGTCGCAGTTATGTTACTTTTCACGTTTAACGACGAGTCACGCGTGCTACACAACGGTAATGATTTATCACGACACGCGCTCCACCTACTCGTACTAGTCGTATCGACTAAATAAACTAAAGTTATTGTACAGAATCTATCGAGGCTGCAATTCCGACGACATAACGCTTAAATCCACCGTCACGTTTACACGGAGCACATCTTGTCGTTATCAACGGTTTCACCTACGTTCGTAAGTCGATTACACCCCGTAACGTGAATAATTTTCTAATAATTAAAATGAAATGACTGGAACGAGAGCAGCTATATTAATATCGTTTATCGTTATTTCTATTCCCAGGTTGGTTTTTTCCAATCTGTACTCAATGGAACTATCCATAGTTCACTTTTAATCGTTAAGGGATACCCATTCGACGCGAGCCGAAACGCGTCCGGAATTTCGTCGTGGTTTCTCCCCGTGAACGATCGGGCGGATCGCTTATATATCGGACAGCAGCCAATTATACCGGTGCATGTTAATCTAACATTAACCGAGATGATTTAACCTGAGAATGATCCCTCTTACGAAACATTCCACCTCGCGGATGGAACGGACCGATGGTAGATACAAGATGTCGCTAATTTTAACGGGTACGGAGTACGCTTCGTAGAAAACATCGCGTTCGATGTGACGAACCAGTTTTGCGTTAACGTCATCTCAAGAATATCAATAATAACGCATCTATTTCGAATGTTATGCGATCGTAGGTCGTGGATATTATTTAATAACCGCTGACAACTTCCCCGATTTATTTCCGACCTTGGCGCGCGTATTCCGATATCGTCCTGCGCGATGCGCCGCGAGAATATTCTCTCGATAGGGGGGAAGAAAAACCTGACAAGTTGGACAACTTCCTTCTCGTTGCAGCCAGTGCACGTGTAAACCCACACCGAACCCGCCGTCTCTCGCGTGCGTCGCGATTCGTCACGATCATTGGAAATTCTACGCCGGAACTCAAAAGCTACGTTGGGGCGTGAAGAAAAGTACCGCAAACGTCCCACAAGAGTACCAGAATTTTTCATCCTCCTGCAATAGTTTTCACGGAAGCAAGAGAAGCCCGAGGCGGATCTTTCCTTTCTTCCGTCCAAGATCCCCGTGAACCGACTTTGCCCGCGACCTGCACTTGGCTCCGCGCGAGTTCTCGCAAGAAATTGTCACCCCGCAATAACAACGAGTCAACGGTCGAATTAACAAAATAACGCGGTCGTTTGGGGGTAATAAACTCTCGAAAGTGTAAAAAAAAATCCGTAGGCTCCGGGCGGTCGTCGTCCTGACCGCCTAACTCCTGGACACGTCGAGTAGCACGGGGCCGGAGGTTTTCCCCTTGAAGTAGAGTCCGGCGCCCTGAAAGCTGCTCGGTCTTGCGGCGGTCGGGGCTTGGGACGGTCCCACGGCGCAAGAACCGTCTTCCGTTTCCGTTCCGCTGTGCGCTTCGTTGTGCCGTCTCAACGCGTATTTAAAGAACTCGTACCTGCGAAACGCGATTGACCATTATCCATCCATCACCATTCGATGTACCGAGCTTTCGTAATGACAAATGAGGATCTTCTCGGGTTTTTTGCCACTTATCTATCCTATCGCTTAATTTTTTAGTACCGGTACTCCTTTGCGGGCGCAGCTTACTTCCGGTAACATTTACAGGAATTAGCTCCTCCACCTAACGCCTAACCGTGAGCACGTACTGTAGCAATGCCTTCTCTGTCTTATAAGCTCTATGCGTCGAGCGCATTCCTACTTTTCCTCGTCCACTTGCCGAGTACGCGGAAGTCACCGGGAAAAGTCGGAACGCGATATCGAGCGAATACGCGTCATGCGTTAAATAAACCCGAGGAAGGGTTGGGTAATTTTGCATTTTCCGAGGATTTCGACGTATATTACGTAAAAGCCAAGTAGTTTACCGTGGGAAACCGGGAAATAACGTTTCCAATATGGCGGACGCCGCGGATGCGCGATATATGTATCCGCGTAATTATAAACGTTTTTTAGCGAGCGGGTACACGTAGAAAAATACGTATATTAGATGACGTATTTATATCTGCCCAACCCTGGACTCGGACCATTTCCAATGTGAGGAAAACCCGAGGGTAATTTTGCGGATTCGCTATGATTCCCTGGATTCGCTCGAGCGGTAGCGCCAGACGATAGAGATAATTCTTATCGAGCGACGATAAGAAACGCGCGTTTGCTCGGCAAACATGGCGTGCTTTGCCGATGAGCGCCCACTCGAGGAAAACGCGGCGAAGGTGGATTCGTATGTATACTCACGTCGACCAGCATATCGCCGTGGCTGGCATCTGATAGAGGATCCTGGCGCTTAAGCCCCTAAAGTAGCCTCGCAATCCCCTGAACCTGTAGATCATTTTGAAGGCGTCTATCATGCCCTGTGCCCGAACTCCACCTTGTTGCGTATTTAGAACCGTCTTGCAGACATCGAGCGGCATCGTAATGGCCGCCGCCACCATTCCCGCCATCGCACCTACGATTTTTATAACGCGTTTCAAGTATCTTCCGTTACGAATTGCCGATCACTCCCTTGCAACCGACTTGTGATCTTGCCAACCAACGGGCAAGTAGAAAAAAAGGAGCGACACTCACCGGAAATCATGTGCGCCTTCGGATTGTATGCATGCTCAGGATTCGTGATGGACTGTGCAATTTCGTAGGCGATAAAGTGGATGCTTTGAAAAGGCACGTTCATGGCCAGCTGAGTCGTGTAACTTCGGTAAAACGCGAAGATACCTTCCGTCTTGTATATGTGTTGCATGCAGCTTAACATGTTCCTGTACGGGGAGTTGTACAATTGCAGGCGCTGCTTGATCACTGCGAGCGGAGAGACGAATTTTGTGGATCTACTTGTCACTCTTATTAATTAGTAAATATTGAGTTAAGGAATAAATTCCCGTTAATTACGTTACGCTGCGTTAAAAACGGCGGGAACTTATTTCTCCACCCAACGGTTGGTAAATGCTTCTGGTCCTTTCACGCATCGATAGGACACCGAGGCTTACCTTCGGCTGGATTCATGATTCCGTCATGAAGAATCGTGGCTACGCAACCGGCGACCCCATAAATCAGATGATTGAACTGTACAGGTGACCTGGGACCGATCATTTTGTCTTTTATGAATTCGTAGCACGAAAAGTAGAGGGCATGAGCAGGAACTGCTCCAGCCATCATGACACCTACACCCCTCAAGGGCCGAAAAGGTCCTTCCTGTCGAATCATTTTGCTTAAAATTTCTCTCACTCCTCCTCTTCCGCCTGGCCCAGGTGTGAACGCCTGCATTCTGGTCTGTGGAGATATTTGCAAATGTTAATGGATGCCTTTATGGTACTTTGAGAAATTTAAATGTTAATAACTCCGACAGTTTCTTGGACTCGTAAAAGTGCGACGCCCTCGTATTGCATTGCTTATTTACATTTAACGTTAATCAAAGTTGGGGAAATAAGGCACAGAGATAGATGCGTCAATTTGTTATCCGAAGGGAATTCTGAAATAAATGTTGCAGGTAAAATAGATGAGGTATCATAGCTTCTCTTTTTTCCTAGTCGCATGACTTGCAATAACTGGAGGCAGGCATTATTTTACGTCTTCCAGAAGAAGCTAAACGTCACGACTAGTTGTCAAACATGACTCGGCAGTTGTTAACTTGATCGCATGAATAGAAATCCTTGATAATTCTATAGAAAGTAACCATGTTTAAATTAAATCTTGGTCAAACCATGTCGTACGAAAAACTCAGGCAATTAGATGTAACAAGCGGGATAAACCCCATTATAGGACTTTTAAGGAATTAATCGAAAGAGTAAAAGATTCGGCGACGATCGGATGCCACCTTAGTTCACGCGTGGATCAAAAATAGAATCTACCGTACAAGAACGGTGCGTTATATAATGGCTCTTGGGAAAGGTGTAGCAAAGGAAAGCTTGACATACCACCGCCGCAAAGCGTTAATACTCTGCATTTTCCAGAGTTAGCATAAACGATTCACTCGAATCGTGAGAAATTCATTGGTATTGCCATCACTGGCACGAGAAAAGCTGTTTATACCGAGACGCTCGATCCGGTACCCGTTATATCCTAGACATTGTATAAGATATGCCAACGGTCTGCATTCGAAAGACTCGTATGGGGTATCGTCACCTCCATGGGCTGGATCGACTAACCCTTCCAAAAGGAAAATTCCAAGCCTGGATCTATCTCATTCCAGAAACATAGAACATAAGAACTACATATGCCGTTAGAATCTATATTTGCACGAGACAATCGGAGTGCCTCAGAGATAAGGAGTACACATCGAAGAGATGGGCTCTCAATAAGAGGCCATTGAGAGTAAAACTTCCTGTTAAGAAAATAGCCTCGGCGCAAACGAAATACGTTCCATCCGAGCTCGTTCCATGCTCGCGGGCGACTCATGGAATCGACTACACGTCGAACGATCGCATAAAGTGCACAGACGAGATTACGTCGAGAAGAAGGTGCCATCGCCGTTCGGGAAGAATGGAAGAGCGAGCGGTCAGCCCCGATCCTGAGTTAGCGTCGGAGTCGTATGACGCGTTCGGGGATTATGTAAAGCCTCGAAATAACCCGAGTTAAGTGGAGCCGGACTACCTTGACACTGTCAATAGGATACATGACACAGTGTTCCATGACTCCGGCAAAAGCCCCGGCAATCATGTGGACGCCGACCGAGGCGGTGGGCAGGCTCTCGTACTCGTCGACGTTCATGGTCCTGCGATCGGTCCCTCTTAGCGAGCGGCGAGCGGCGAGTGGCGAGCGACGAGTGGAGCGCGTCCGCGACGCACTCACGTGTCCGCTGGCGAGGCCGCCGCTGACCGCCGCGAGCGCGTCGAGTCCTGTCTCGTCTCTCGGAAGAGGTCGACGATGTCCGAGACACGCGGCCGCGACCTCCCCAACCTCAGCTGGAGCACCCCGAGACCCGTCCGGCCCCGTTGGCCCCGTTGGCACCGTCCACGGCTTACGTTGCGCTGCGTCGCGCCCGGACTGCGAGTCGTCCGGCGCTCTACGCAGCGCGCGACCCCCACCACCGCTCCCGCCGAAGATTACCGTCTAGGGAAAAGGGAAAAACCCGGCGATTCGTCGAGTGACGTCGCTAACCTTACCGATTTACATCAAACGAGATCGCGTCCGATCCACCGCGACTCGGCGCGTTTACCTCCGAGGATTCGTCGAGACTCGATTAGAGAGGTTAGGAGAGACCGAGGAGCACGTGGCGCGCGTGCGTTTCGTCGCCGCGCGAGCCTACGGAGGCGCTACCGTAGTCCACGTAGCTACGAAACGAGACGAGGTTCCAGAACGTTCCACCGTCGGCGAGTAACGTAACGTCGGTAACGTAAAACTCCGACCGACCGCCGGGAATCCTATCAAACCGACCGAGTCGCCTAAAATAAATGCGCAGCCCGCGTGCGGGATCTTCCCCTCCATTCCCAATCATTTAGTACTATGATTTAGTACGTGACTGACAGAGCTTGCGAGTGGCCGCGAATAATAAGGAGTGACCCCGTCAACCGGTCGGCTCGATATGCTTCCACGCTTCCGTTCGACGAGGTATGTAGATTGCAAACGAGTATTTGAATCACGAGCCCGTGTCAATGAACCGAAAAGATGAAGAGGTTAGAATTGCTGTACTTTCAGATAGACGAGTCGGTAGAGCACGATTCGGAGGGTCTGCACCGCCGGGTCTTGATTTCTTCCTCTTCATGTCCGATTTACCCGGATCGGTGACATTCGTTACGGAGGTGATCTGATGACTCGCTATGACGCGCGTCCGGTCATTATACCACGACGTTATGACTTCAGGTGAGTATGCTCGTTTTCCCTGAACTTCGGGCTTCCGCTGCCGGCCTTTCTCGTGTAGGAAACCGTTACGATACCGCAATTAGAAACCACTGGTAGTCACCGACAACCAGGTATTTTATATTTTCGCACGTTGGGAGGACAGCTCGAGTGCCCTGCATCTTCCGTTCTAAATATGCTCCGTTTGTGCATCTCTTCTTTAGCAGGTACCGTTCCGATATCGTAGCCAGCTGATAACACCGATACGTACTCGGTATCTTGGTACTTGTTGATAGCACTTGCTGCGAGTCGCTCGAATGTCGACTTCGTTTTGAGTAGTCCAAGGTTGACGGGTCAAGTAATTACTTGATGCAAAAGTAATCAGTTATTTTTCTGGGCTGAATGGGATTGCGAGAAAAATTATGTCCTTGGATAGGAATTCTCAGAAGAAGCGTATTAAAAAAAGATTATCGCACACGGTCATTTTAGTTCTTGCTCGTCTATTATGAATGTGTACTTTATAGTTTCCATTAATGTCGAAATGACCATCGTTTCATAATTATGAGGGATTCTGAGATTTCCTCCGCATCTATCAATGCATTTTGCAATCGGTTGAATAAAATCACATGTTTACGAAGGTGTACTTTGAACGGACTGATTGCATTTAAATAGAAATAATGTACAGTATATCACGGCAAGGTATAAGGGAATCAAGGAATGAAAGACATTCTCTGTTCACATGAGAATATGGTAACTCGACGAATCACAAGATAAACTCTGGAATATAAAAACTGTAGTTTTTGTAATCAACTGTCGATTAAGTAACGGAGTGGATAGATAAGCGATTGCTCGTCTCCGAGTTCTATACTTCCAGTACCTTTAAAATTGTGGAATTTAACTTCTTGGCATTTCAAATTACCAATGGTTTAGGCTTAAAAACGTGCTGATAATTTTTGGTCACTTTCATGGCCATGAGGGAAGCTTGTAACCAGTTATGTAAAATCGATAGCAGCTTAAATTATGAAATGAGCTGAATTTAAATTTAACAAACAGAAATATCATAGCATGTTATAGTCACCTAGCTACGTGCAGTCGAATATCAAGTTAGGTCAAGAGTTTCGCTTATGCTAATGTGTCACACGCGTTTTGCTCGTGCCATGAATAATTTAAAAGGTAACCTTTGACTTATTACGCGTTTGAAGATAAATCTATATGTTGCTAGCTCAAAACATTCTAATTTCCCTAATTGTTGCAACAAAATAAACGTATACATCGTGTTAAAAGTGTCACTTCGTGTATAACGATTTTAAATGCCTTTTTCTGACTCTGACCTGGAAATAGCCATTAATCATTCCCGTTAATATTCATTTGGGTGGTTTCTATGTTTTTTTCAGTGAGGAAGCCGTTTGTTGTATTGCGGATATCTGCAGTAAATAGTCCAATGCTCAACGATGAGTCCACATTCTTGTAAGGATCGCTCGCGCAGGAAAGCCATGGCATCCAATGGATATCCCAGTGATACAGCGTCGACCGAACAGATCGAAAGTAACTCACCACCTTGTGAGTCGATTAATTGTATGTGTGCTTAGATTAGTCACCTTGTTTGTTGATTTGTTCTACTATTCACGCCACTTGATTCACAAAGTCGTCGGTTTGCTCGGGGTAAAAACGTGCTTGAGTTTCTCACGTTAAGTTGTCCAATGAAGTTTTTGATTTATTGCCTGGCAGTAGTTCGGAGTGAATATATTTAGCCGATTTGATTTGAATAACTCATTGTGTTCACTGACATTTGACATAGGATAATTTGCATGTGCACTGGCAAAAGTAGAATCATTATCTTATCCTGAAAGAATATCGGTATACAAGCATATATTGAAAAAAGTTTCCCTCATCGATATTAGTAAAAATCATTTGATGATCGCATTAACTCACCATAGAGTATTAGGGCGAGCATTTCACAAGGTAATGATAATCCGTTAACACTTTTTTGTTAAGCGATGCCATGGTTCGGAATGGACATCGGAGGAACCCTGTGCAAGTTGGTATACTTTGAACCGAAAGACATTACTAGAGATGAAGCCGACACAGAGGTAGAGACTTTGAAAAACATTCGACGATACCTTACAAAAAATTCAGCTTATGGAAAAACAGGTCATCGGGATACTCATCTGCAGGTAATTCGTCGGATGAGACGCGCGTCTGGTTTTCAACTTTAACGATTGCTTGACATCGCAGATGGACAATGTCTCTATAAGAGGCAGAAGAGGTACGCTGCACTTCGTCAGGTTTCCCACCAGCGAAATGGGGAATTTTTTGGCTCTCGCTAAATCCAAGGGCATGGCAACTCTCGTCACGACGGTCTGTGCCACGGGAGGAGGTGCCTACAAGTTCGAAGAAAACTTCAAGAAAGTACGATACCTCCTTTTAACTCCCACGATTCGTCGGACCAAATCTCACAAGGGAAATCGCTCGGTTTCAGGAAGTGAACATGAGCTTGGCGAAATTCGACGAACTGGACAGCCTGATACGCGGCATGCTTTACATAGAAACGACGAATCCCCGCGAGTGCTACTATTGGTCGCATCCAACGGAAGATAGCAGGTGCCAAAAAGTCCCGTACGATTTCTCCGAGCCTTATCCATTCCTGGTACGTCGTGTCGACAATCCCTGGAATCGAGCGATAACGCTCCGGCTTAAACGCTGAATTCACGTTCCGTTTAAAAATTCATTTTCAGCTTGTGAATATAGGATCTGGCGTGAGCATCCTCGCGGTCTATGGTCCGGATAACTACAAGAGAATATCTGGAACAAGGTAGGTCGTACGTACGCTTCGCCTCTTTCTTTATTTTTATTTATTTTTTTTTTTATTCCATCATTGATTATACATTTTTTGCGCTTTCTCAGCGACACTTGAAACCACTCCATGTTGAACACAGTTTAGGTGGCGGGACTTTTCTGGGATTGTGCTGCCTCCTCACCGGGTGCAACAGCTTCGAAGAAGCGATAGAACTGGCCACCGGCGGGGACAATACCAGAGTAGACAAACTAGTTAGAGACATTTATGGAGGAGACTACGGTCCCTTTGGACTTACCGGGGATCTCGTTGCGAGCAGGTAACCTTTTCAGGAAGAATTCCACGCGCTCGTTTTTTTTAACGATGACTTCGCAGTACTAACGGACTTCTGGCTCCTAACCTTTCTCCGGCTTCTCTAATATTGGGTTTCCTTTGGTAGCTCTGCATCCCCCAGCTTGCTTGGCTTCGGTTTCATCTCTACTAACATTCTTTTTGTAGATGGCCCTTATAGTTTTTCCGTTGTCTAATAATTACCTATGTATTAAGCTTTGACCGTGTACACAGTTTTGGCCAGATGAACTCGAAAGATCGCAGGAACGCGGTCAGCAAGGAGGACCTCGCGAGGGCGACCCTTGTGACGATAACCAATAATATCGGGTCAATCGCTCGCATGTGCGCGGTCAACGAGAAGATCGAAAGGGTAATTGACGTTTCTCGAAAAAAAAAAAAAAATGACTTTCCTGAAATTTATAAGACCTTGTAATCCAGGATATTTCAACGCGTCTTTCCTTTGACCTGACTAGGTGGTGTTCGTTGGAAACTTCTTGAGAGTCAATCCCATATCGATGAAGCTGCTGGCTTACGCCATGGATTATTGGTCCAATGGAACCTTGAAGGCATTATTTTTGGAACACGAGGTGAGACGTCATATGCAATCCTTATCATTTCGATGGACCTCTAGAATAATGCAGGATGCAAGGAGATTCTAAAATAATTTTCTTCCTAGGGTTATTTCGGAGCGGTGGGCTGTCTACTGCAGTTCAACGGCACGACGCACTAGAGACATCCGTCAAGATGGATTCCACAGTACATAGCATTCCAGAATCTGAAGAAATTGAAAACAAGATTTAACGTGACGTCGGTGCAAAATTCAATTGCGCGTCCACGTCATCGTGATCGACTTCTCGGGGATGGGTACGGAGCCGGACAAGAGCGAGCAAATCGAGTCTTCTTAGCACGTAATTCCCGTAGAACGAGGTCGTTGATTAAACGCCTCGGGCGAACGTCACACGCGAGTTTCGAGTAATACGACCTCGGTTCGTTGACATCAAATGAACGCAAGCTTGATGTAAGAGCGCACGCAACAAGGGCACAAAATTCATTAGTCCACGTGGTATTAGGAAAGCAAATGCCATTTTCACCCCACCTTATCCTTAAAAATGACGTCTCACTCCCTCGATACGCATCGTCGAGGATTCGCATGGGCGAAACGCGCGAATCCGAGAAAGTAATTCGATGATTCTCTGAAATCGTGCTCAGCGAGGGCTCGTGTTTCTCGGTTATGTAAACGCACACCGTTGGTTGTGCAAAGCTTTCGACTATTTTGCAGGGGTAGCGTCGACATATCTAGACTCGATTGGGTCGTCGATTTAGGCGAGTTTGTCATCGTCGAGGAGGAAACTTGTCCAATCTCGAAGTCGGCGGTCAGGTACTCTTGTACATACACACGTGATTAATATGCAATGCATAGCGTACTACTATTCTGCGGATCCTGAGTCCGCAGTTTTATTATGAGGTGCACGTAAAACGGTTTCGAGTTTCCGTGCACTCGGGTTAGATGCTTCCTGCAATTCTTTAATTCTCACCGACGTGGCGAGATTACCCTTGAGGCCATTGCCTGCGTTAAGGTGTTATGAAAGGGTCATTCTATATATTACAAAGATTGAAACGATTCGGTACACCGAGCTCGGAGATAAGTTTCACAAACGAGACCACTTTGACGCCACTTTCACATCACCTTAAGTTTAGGTGTACCCAATTACGTACCGTGGTGGGCACAATTAATTAGTTTTACATTGGTGACGTTTTTACTTGTTTATAGGTCATATTAAATTATCCAGAAATTGCGCGTCTCTCTCCTACCGGTTAAGCAATTGTAAATACGTCACGACGGTCGTCTGCGACCGACAAGTTTAGTTGAGAGTTTAGATGAAATTTCATCGATGTTTGCCCATCGCTCGTTATGCACGCGCACCGAATTAACGTTAATTGAAGTCATTACCGATAGCGTTCATGGTAAACTGACATATCGATTGTTGTAACGGCGGTTGCGTAATTTATTCCGTTGTTGCGGGCCTAATGAATCAGCTTAATATGAACGTTACGATGCAACTAAATTTCTACTGTATACGTAAGTACATACGTGGTAAATGGATGATTTTTTAAAAATATAATATTCAAAGGAAGTATGTCGCGCTCGTTTGTCGTATTCCACCACATCTACGCTCCCAAGTAAGCTAGAAATTTAGTATGCTTCGGTACGGTCTGTAGACCTAAAGTTTGGATTTCCGTTGCCTAGCAATGCTGAAAGACCCTATTGTATTGAATTTAGTTGGACCGACTCGCGTTCTACGTCGAGCCGTCACTTTGAACGTTTAGATACTCGTCGGTCTCGTTTACTCGGCAATATCTTGGAATTTTCGTGATTTTATGAATACGTTCCCTTGCGGAATCGTATAAAGTGAAGTGCAAGAAGAGAAGTTCAAAGGAAGACGAAAATGGTAAGTCGGCTTAACCGATAAAATTGTAAATTAATTTGATTGAATGACAATGAATTAACCCAGGGCCCGAAAAAGAAAGAGAAGGGAGTAGACTCCGTCGACGGAGTGGACACGTCGAAAATGAACAGGGAACAGCTGGAGCTTTATTCTCGAAAAATTTTGGAGGAAATGGAGCGCGAGAGAGAGGAGCGGAATTTTTTCCAGCTCGAGAGAGACAAATTGAGGACGTTCTGGGAGATCACTAGAAATCAGCTGGAAGAGGCTCGGGCTACTATCAGGTACAATGGTGACGTACCGAGGATTTTTATCTACCTTGCTACGGTTACAAATAGCCGGTTATCGGTCAACGTTTCGGTTATTAATTACCGACCCCTTTAGAAATAAGGAGCGCGAGAAGGAGGAGTTGACGGAGAAGCACGAAGCGGAATTGAAGTTGTATAAGCAGAAAGTCAAGCATCTAATGTACGAACACCAAACGAATCTCTGCGAAACCAAAGCCGAACACATGGTGGCCTTGAAACTCGCTCAAGATGATCATACCGCTCAAGAGAACGAACTCATCAAGGACAAGAAGGACTTGAAGAGACGACAGAAGGAGCAGGAATTGGCGCACATGAACGAGATTCGCGCGTTGAAGTTGGTAAAGAGGTTGAGAAACAAAGTTGAAAATTATCCCGGGGTCTTCGCGTCTCCTGGTTATCCCCTTATTTCAGTCCAATGCCGACGAAATGAGCTCCACGATAAAGAAGTTCGAGGCCGAAACGATGGAGCTCGAGCAGAAGTACGAGCAGAAATTGGCCAATCTGTACGAGTCGCTGATGCTGAAACACAGGATGGAACTGACAGAAGTCGAGGAAAGGAAGAACATGCAGATCGCGAACCTGATAAAAAATCACGAAAAGGCCTTCGCGGACCTGAAGAACTACTACAACGACATAACGCTCAACAACTTGTCCCTGATCAAGAGTCTGAAGGTACTCTCTCGCCTTCTCTTTATAAAGAAATATTTTTAACGAGGGTATACGAACCCGTCGTTCGGCCAGGAACAAATGGAAGTCATGAAGAACCACGAGGAGAGGATGAAGAAGCAAGTGCGCGAGACGACCGGCGAGAATAAAAAATTCTCGGCGGAGCTGAAGACCGCGCAAGAACAAGTGGCCGACCTCTCCCGACAGCTGGCCAATTACGAGAAGGACAAATTATCCTTGACCGTGGGTATCCAATTCGTTATCTGCATTCCGAGTTTAAGGAAGAACCGCCTCGGACTTGATTTTCGCTCCGCCGAATTTTTCAGCACACGAAGAAGCGTCTGACCGTCGCCCTTAAGGACCTGGAGAACCTGAAGTGGGAGAACGAGGTCCTGGAGCTGCGTTTCGAGAAGGTAAGGAGGATCGTTCCGGTTTTAGGGCGATTTCTTCGATTCTTGCGAACGCGTTGCAGTGCCAGAGCGAGCGGGACGAGTTGCACTCGAGGTTCGTTTCGGCGATCCTGGAGCTGCAGCAGAAAACTGGCCTGAAGAACGTCCTGCTGGAGAAGAAACTGGAGAAACTGTCGGACCTGCTGGAGCAACGAGAGGCTCAGATCGGCGAAGTCCTGGCGGCTGCTCAACTGGATCCTGCGGCGATTGTCAACGTTAACAAGAAGCTCGAGGTGACGACGACATTACCGCTCGCTTTCCGGATCGCTTGGCTCGCCGGTTTCCCTTGTTTCGCGTAATCCGTCTCTTTCTACCTCTACTCGCAAATCGAGCCTCCCTCTTCTCCTCCAGGAAATGTTGAATCGCAAGAACACCGCGATACAAGACCTCCAGCACGAGCTGGCGAAAGTCTGCAAGGCGCACGACGACCTGCTGGCGACCTACGAGGGCAAGCTCCAGGAGTACGGCATCCCCGAAGAAGAACTCGGGTTCCAGCCGTTGAGGACAAAATTAATCGGCGCCAAATTGGGCGCAGGACCTGCTGGACTCGTTACGCTAAATCGATAATACCGTTTCCCTTCCACGGAATCGTATCGAAGATCAACGGATATCGTACCCACCTGCCTACGTTATGAGATGTCATCGCAGAACTCTGTAGAATTAAACCCATCGATGCCAGTCTATCCTATATTAAAAAAAAAAATGTTAATCGTATAATTAAAACCACTAAACTCTTTTAATTCCACATAAATCACGAATTTTTTAAAATAAATCCCTAATTTATGGAAATGCATTTCCATAGTTGCATTTCACGTAAGGTGTTCTTAAGCGGCTGCACCTGGTCGTCGCAGTCCTGAGTGCCCGCAGCGTTCCGAACCCCGTAGGCAGAAAAATATTTCATCGGATAAGACAAATTTCCGTTGGTACAACCATAGAATATAGTTACTATCAATTTCGTTAGACGAATCGTATTTTTTTACGTGAACAAAGCTTTTTTTTTCCTACGGGTGCGAGTCGGACCTGTGGCAGTCCTGGGACCAGCTGCGAGCACTCGGGAGTGGAGCGGGATTGGAAGGAGAAAAAGGTGGGGGGTGATCGAGATGCCGGATGGCGAGTCGCTCCTTCGGTCCGATCAGTCGACCCGGCACCGTCCTCCGAACGCGATCGTTCCTCTCCCGTCTCTCGCTCGCGAGTTTTCCGACCGCTTTCCGCGACGTGACGATCGCGATATAACACTCGCGCGAATATTTTAACGATACAACGGAAATCCGCCAGAAAATCGGGAATCGCGTTACGATTTTTCCGCGACTTTGTCGTTTCAATTTCTCCGTTGTATTTGTGTTAAGGCTTTGTGCCGAAAACCACGTGCGAGGGAACGGATTACGCGGCTGGCGAGACTTCGAGGCGTTCTCATCGGGTAAGTCTTTTTAAAGGCATTCCACGGGCTTTCCGTATATTTCTCGTATGATTTGAGAAATAATTGTGCTTACCGTGGGAAGCCGAATTTTGGGCTCGATGCGGCACATCTATTGGAGTTTGGAGTGAAAAGTGTCGGTTTGTTTTTTTTCTTCCTATGTTATTGGTAAGAAGTGTTGAGCTCTCCGGTCTATCCCTGGAAGACCGACCTTTGACTTCGGGTCAACGCACGATATCGGACTCGTTCTTGACACGTTAATCGATTTCACGGAATTTTACGTGCGCGTCTACTTGTTCGTACAATTGATACCCTGGGAAAAAGGAAACGTTTGAATGAATAAAATGTTTCTCTGGGTCGGTGACTTTTTTTTTTGTTTTATCTCTTACGGGAATATGTGGCACAACGTTACGCAGAAATTTATCGGCATTCGCAACTAAATGTTTCAACGTCGACTTTTGTGCTCCCGTCGATAGCAATTCGTGTACACAAGCATCGTCGAATCGCGATAATTACCAATTACAATGGATATATTTTTTTTTTGCGAAAACACCTGCCGAGAAAAATGCGCAAAAACGTGGACGAATGCCAAAGGGAGGCGTTCGCGTTGAAAAGAAAATCCTCGACAAATAAAGGCGAGTCCTATTGTTGACGGTGAACTGTCATTGTGGCGACAAAGGCCACTTCGGTAACATCTGGGGAGAGTGACTCAGTGGGAGAAATCTTATCGGAGAAACCGAGGGAATTCCCGTGATTTTTGGGAAACGACGTCGTTCGTTAAATCCAACAAGTTTTCCTAATCGACGAAACGCGAGTCTCGACGCTTCCGTTTTAATCCCGAAAACTTGAATTCGATTCTTCGGTCGAAAAATTCTCCGCTCCTCGGGGGGCCTCTCTCCGTTTTCTCGAATTTTTTTCGGGCTCGTTTGCTCGCTCAGAAGGCGTAAAACAATGTAGAAATCGGGAAGAGCGAGTTCGCGAGTCCCGAGGATTTCCGAATGAACTACTTCGAGCACTACATTGTCGTAATATGATGATTGCCATGGGAAGTACTCGGTTTCTCTTTTCGTGGAAGAACATAACGCTCTCGTTCATTCATGGACTCTCGTTGTAAATGAAGCGGAACGTCCCCCTTTGGGTGAAAAAAAAAAATAAAAACCGCGCGCGAGAAAAAGCCGAGATGTATTTGTCTCTGGAGTAAAAACTAATGGAAATGACTGGCAGCCGAGAGCGCACTTTTCAGGCAGGAAATCCTTGCCCAGAAATGGAAAGTTACGAGGACAGACGTAAACGGAGACTTTTACGACACTGTTGTAACTGCTCCTGTAAGCGCACGTAGTAACCGTTAACGATGAATGAGTCTGCCCGAAAGCGCGTCCAATCGGTAGAAATCGAAGGACGTGGGATTCCTGTTAGAAAATGAAGGTTTCCTGCATGGAATGACTTTCCTATGCATTGACTGGACGATATAAAAAAAATCTCAGGAAAGAAAACTGAATTCCTATTGTATTTTACCTTTGTCCGGAAAGGTACCGAATATTTTCTTTACGTTTATATGCAATGGAATAGATTTTTTTACGCGAAGATCTTCCCCGGTAAAAATTGTTCGGTAACGTTCTTCGTTCACCTGTTCCCTGGTCGAGGGTCGGCTCGTATCTCGAAGTCCTTGGCGTTCATTGGCTCGGTGCACCCAGGATGCGAGGTGTCCTTTTACGTGGCCGAGCTATGTAAATAAGCGTTGGGTTTCCGAAATCCGAACCTTCGGCCTTCTTCGGTGGGTTTTTGCCCCTTTGTATCGGCGCCCCGTAGCCGGTGCCTCGCTCGATACTCTTCGAGAACCGGACTCGGTCGAGCAAGGTCCTCGAAGAATTGACTTGGGAATTTCTGCCGCGCCTAAAATAAAAAAAGTAAATAAATTTATTTGAATGACGTACTCGTCGGCGAGGAGAGGTTCCGGCAAATAAAACCCGGGACGGGCGATAAGGTTTGTCACCCTCTTCGGGATCGCATCTCGAAGCCGCGAACAAGGAGACCGGATTCGAAATCTAGCGTGACGTCGACGAAAATTTACGGGGCGGAGTGTTTAGGCTCTAGGAAACGAAGCCGAGGCACGTTTGTCAATTCCAGAACTAGTCCGTGACTTTCTCACTGCCGGGCAAATAAATTTCCGTTCGGGAAGCGTGACTTTCTCGAGTTCGCCGGCGGGCCTCGAGGAGTCCTCGGGATCCCCCGGGATCCCCCGGGTTTCACCGATTCCTTGGGAAGCCTCGAATTTCTCCCGATGAAAGGCGGAGAGATCATCCCAAAGACGTTATGCACCCGATCTCCTCCGACAAAATGGCCGGCGGAATTTCCGTCCGTGGCAAGATTCGTGGACTCCCTGGAAAATGGGCTCTGCTTCGTGCCCAGCATCCTGGGAACTAGAAAGCAGCAATTCCCCATCTCGCGAATGCACGTGCACGGTGCACGAGTGCACCGATAAATGGGAGAGTAATTAACTCGTGGAGGTGTTGCGCCCACGATTTCTTGCCGCAATAATATCATAAAGTGCTCGTAAAATACCCTAATCGTGCTACTTATACTTCGGGAAAAAAAATGGAATTTACCGAAGAATTTATGCGGCAAGAACCACCGAAGTGATTAAAAATTCAACCGTGATATAACGAGTCGGGAACAAAAATGGCCGGGGCTAAATAACGAGATGTAACATCTAGAAATTTAAAAAGGTAGCCCGCGACACTTTTTTTTTCGGCGGGGCATTTAATCGTTCTTTCACGGATTGGGCAAAACGGCATCGGAGTCCTAACGCGAGTTATCCGGTCGATTTCACCGTTCGGTATGTGGCCGGAATTTTAAAGTCGATCGGCTCGGGATCGTCCCGTTCGGCCGGGGAACAAAAAGGGATTTAATTGCCTTTCGGAATTCTCTCGGTGCATTGCGGAATCTGGGTTAGAGGAGCACTTCGTTACCGAGCCCTACTAAAGACTGGTTCTCTCCTCTCGGCTTCTGGAGCACCGATTGACAATCGGCCAGGAAAAACTCGGTGCCCCTCTCCGCGTGTCAATGTCGAGAGATAAATCTCCTACTTGCTACACCGAGAACAAATTTTCACCCAACCGGAAGAATGATGTCCTTGAATAGGATAAAAAAATACTGTACATACTGCACGAGTCGATTTTGTATGAAATTTAGGCGCGAGTTTAATTGACAAAAGCTTCTCTTATCGCCGACTCCCAGCACTCGTTTATCCTCGATTTCACTTTCCTGCCGAGGGCTTGTCGAAAAAAATTCAGGCGAACTACTTTCCATTCTAAATTACAGCTTGGCTCGTTTCAATTGACGTTATCATTACACTGCACGGTTATTAAAATCGACTCGCTGCAGTTCGCTCGCAAGGGCGACCAGTTTTGCATTCTTTGGGAAACAGTCTTAAGAGAGGCTTTGGAAATATGTCTAATATCTGAGAACGAACTGAGAAAGTTCCGTATCTTGAAGAGGGGAATACTTTTAAGATCATTATTTCACGCAGTTGTATATTTTTGATAATATTTAATAATTTATTAGGGAACATGAAACCGACGTTTATTTTCGGAGCCTTTCGGGCATCGAGTTTAGTCATTCCTGAGATTTTTTTTCGGGAAGGATTTTCTTTCCCAGGGAAAATTTAAGTCGGAATTATGGAATGAATGAAATTAACGCCCAGCAGGAAATCCGGGTTCCACTTTTTCTTCCTCGTTCAGGAAACTCGTGCATCTGAATGGGTCAATTCATTTCCAACTTTCCCTGAGACCGAGTCGCTTAATAAGGATTTTTTTTTTTAATTGCGAATGACCCCTTGCGTAGACATTAGACCGAGCTTCTGCCTCTTCGTTTGTACTTCCTGTTTGAAGTGCATCAGGATGCACCGTGAAAACCTTGCATTCACTTTTCCCCCTGAAAAGGCGAGAATAGATTAGCCATGCTTTTCTGCGTCTTCGTTACCCCTCGCGCATTATTATTTAATCGAGGAACGATCTTCCAATTAAGAAGTGAAAATCTTAGTCTAGGGAAAGATAGCCTCGATTCGATGACGGGGTTTCGCGAGATTAATGATCACCTCGGTTTAAAAAATTCATCATTTTTCATTTTACGAAATCTGCGGTAAGGATAATTTTTTTTTGTTCACCCGGTACGTGTGCGAGCATTTGTGCGCCTCCCCACGAAGAGCAGTTTGCATTGTACAAATGAATGACTCGTATGACGGTACGTACGTATCCGGTCCGAGAAATTACCGACTTTACCAGGGGAAGTGCCCACATGTCGTGCCGGGCTCTGCCCTGAGTCATTTATGCATTTTTCTCGGAAATTACAATATCCCCACAGATATTTCCGAATTTTTCAAACTCCTTGGAAAAGTGTCTCCGTAAAGAAGTGCCCGGAAAAATGAGGTTTTCTCCCCTGGAACGTTGCTTGACCCTGGAGTAGTCGTGATTATTTTTTTTTTTCCCGAAGAAGGCAATTTAAAGCGCATCCGAGTAAGACCCGAATGACTCGTCTCCGGAGTGAGTCATCAGTGACCGAGTCATTAGTCGAGCCTATTACGGAGTCTAATCTTACGAGAGCTTTCTTGCTCTCTTCGGATTAGGCTCTTCGGCTTATGTAGGCACCCTTCGAAAGTCACTTCCGGAGATATTCTAAAAATACCTCCTCGTCCTTAAAGTACAACTTTTGAACGGGAGGAATTAAGTGCTCCTAGAATAAAATCCTTCGTCCGTAAGCATATTTCTGGGGAGAAAAAAATAAACGGGGGGAAAGGAATTAATATTTCTTAATTTTAACTTTGGAGATGAGCGCGCAATTATTCGCCTTTTAAGCGGGTAATGACAGAAATAATGAACGTCTTCGTGGAGCTCCACTGTCTGGAGATGATCACGACTGATCACTTTCTAACAGGAAATTGGATCCCTGAGATCTTCCAGCGGATGATGCTTGATCTTGTGCGTCTAGATTGAATAGGGAAAAAG